GATTATCTGGGAAACTAGGCAGACCCAAACCTCTTTGAAGGAGTCCCTGGGTAGCGCAAACAGTTAAGCACTCAGCTACTAGCCGAAAGGTTGGCAGTTTGAACCCACCTAGAGGCACAGAAGAAAGGCCTGGTGATCAGTACTTTCAAAATATCAGACACTGAAAACCTTATGGAACGTAGTTCTACTTTGACACACATGAGGTCACCATGAGTCAAAATGGATTCTGTGGCAACTGGCTTGGTATTTTTAAACCCCTTCGAACCTCATCTCCTAGAGTTTAAAATGGGAATAGCAGTATGCAGGGCCATAAGGTATGGTAGGGCAGGTTGCTCACTGCACAAGGTTGCTAAGGGGCACCTTCTGGGCTAATTGATAGTGCTCACCTTGCAGAGTAGTTGTGAAGACAGCATGAAGAAATCCAATCAAGAGAGGGAGGAGCCAGGTTTCTACCCTGGGTGAACTTCCAGGGACCCAGCTGAATCTCTTAGGTATTTTTTTCTTCCTCTCTCTGTTCCTCTGTTTCTGCCTCTCCTGGAAAACCCTTCTCTCCCCGCCCCCACACCCTATCCCCAGTCCTGGCTCATAGACATTCTGAGCAGACAAGCTCCTGGCTCCTCTGCATATAGATTCCTCCTATGAAGGCTGATTCTGACATTTGATACCAGCATCCATTTCACAGCCTCACTTCTGTTCCTGTGTGGGCACCTCTCCCAGCTTTGCCCACAAATAATCCTGCTGCCCTCCCACCCGCATTCATTTGTTCCTTTGCTCCTGATACCAGCCCTCTCCCTCTAATCTCCACCTCTCCTTGTTCCCCTCCACCACCTACAGCATTCTGGGATGCTTACAGCCACCTAGGTCTGGGGTTCCTCCTTCCAGCATTTGTTCAAATTCCTGCGGAAAAGAGAGTGCCACTCCCCACCCCATCCCGCCCCTGGATTTGCACTGATTACAAGTATCCATTGAGTCTCCTTGCCTCCCTCCCAACCTGGGGTTTAAGCTGCCTTTTGTTTGGCTGTTAGGGTAATATATTAAGCGACCATTCTCAGAATACAATTTTAATTAAGATTCAATAGTCATTCCTCTGTCAGTAATCTTCCACGCTGATTACTTAAAATATATTTACCCAGCTCTATTATGCCACAGCTTTGAATTCATTAGACGTTTGTTAATCCTCAACAAACTTCTTTTTTTTTTTAAATGTGTTTTTTTTTAGCGTAATCTGCAAGGACAAAACTATTTGAAACAATGGGGCCACTGCCTCTGAGGCTGTGGGTCTGCTCCCAAAGTGTCTGGGTCTTCTCTGCCTGCCGCCGCCACTGCTGTCCATCCCAAAAGGACATCACAGGACAAGGTGACCCATATGCTGTCCATACGGGTCAGCCCCCAAGGGCATAACTCAGGGTGGGAGAAGGGAGAGTAGAGAGAGGACCTGGAGGGACAAACTGAAGATACCCAACACACTAACAGCCTTGTTGGCTGTGGACCCAGCTGCGCCTGACCAACATCGTCGTTTCCTATGCGTACCTTGATATGAAAATATTGGAGAGTGATGCTTAGTCTTAGAACAGTACAGCATTTACTGACTAAGGCCCATAAGGAGGACAGCCTTTCACATGGGGCTATACGCTTTCAGAACATCGCCTTCCCCCGCCTCCTGCACACACACACATGCACACACAGCCACTTCCAGCTTAACTTGTAAGGGGCATCCTTGGGCACAGTGGTCTCTGTGCCCCCAGTGGGTTTAAAAAAAAAAATTGCCGTCTAGTTGATTCCAATTCGTGGCAACCCTACATGTTACAGAGTAGAACTGTTCCATAGGGTTTTTCCTAGGCTGTAATCTACAGAAGCAGATTGCCAGGCCTTTCTCCCGTGGAGACACTGGGTAAGTTTAAACCACCAATCTTTTGGTTAGCGGCTGAGTACAAACCATTTGTACCACCCAGGAACCTTTTCCTCTGTGGTTATGGGAGCTATTTCTTAACTCTACTTGAACAGACGCAGGTGTCCCTTAGAGAAAGGGCCTCCTTCCCTCGGTAGCCATGGTGAGCCTTGGGAGATGTAGCTGGAAAACACAGCCAGATGGCTGCCACAGGACGCTCCTTATGCTCCTGCTGGTGCCAAGCTGGTTTTCTCAGCTAAGCAGCCAAATGAACCCTGGACCGTGTTTGATACAGAACTCCTCAACTCGGTGACAATGCCAGAAACTCACTCCCAGTGTCATATTTCATTCATTCATTTATTCAGCAGATATTTATTGGGCACTTACTCTGAGCCAGGTGTGGTGCTGCGTGCTGAAGAGTCAGTGGTGGTTGGACAAGACAGATAAGGTCCTTGTCTTCTTGGAGTTATAGTCTAGGAAGGCAGCCAGGGAAATGATTAAGGGATTATAATTAAAAGCGTGATGAGTGATATTCAGTAAATGTTATTATTGTTAGTTGCTGTCGAATTGAGTCCAACTAATGGTGACTCCATGTGTAAAGAGTAAAACCGCTCCATAGGGTTTTCAAAGCTGTGAACTTTCAGAAGCAGATCACCAGGCCTTTCTTCCTAGGCACCTCTAGGTGGGCTTGAAGCACAAACCTTGCAGCTAGTAATCAAGCACTTAACCATTTGCTCCATGCTGAGACTGGGTTGGGCAAGTACGGGGTGATGAAGAGCAAATAGCGAGAGGGCTTAACCTGGTCTAGGTTTTGGAGAGGTTCCTGGAGTAGGTAGTATTTAAGTTGAGACCTGGAGGCAGAATTAGAGTTTAGCCAGGTAGGAATGGAGATAGGGGAAAAAGCCAGGCAGAGAAAAGAACATGTGGGAAGTCCTAGAGAAGAGCAAACACGGCATTTAAGGAGGTGAGAAAGGCCCAGTGTGGCAGGGCGTAAAGAGCAAAGGGTGGTAAAAGATAAGCTGGAGTAGGGGGCAGGGCCAGCTCTGCAAAGACTCCTTCTTGTGTTAAAGAGTAAGAAGAGGTCCTTGCAGATGGAGAAGATTCTTGTTTGTCTTAATAAGCCACAGCTAAGTATAGACCTAGATGGCCAGAGCATGTTTGAACACAGAGAAAGGTGGCAGGTGTAAAGCTTCCATATATAGACAACTCTGGTGGTGTAGTGGTTACGAGCTTGACTGCTATCCAAAAGGTTGGCAGTTCAAATCCACCAGCTGCTCCCTGAAAACCGTATGGGGCTGTTCTACTCTGTCCTATAGGGTCGCTATGAGTCAGAATTGACTCGACAGCAATGGGCTTGTTTTTTTGGGGGGGATGGATATACCTGGTGGGACCTGGGTCAAGGTGGGCTGGTCCTTCTCAGGTAGGAGTTTGATGAGAGCAGGGACTGAGCTGGGTAGGTGCTTGCTCATGGGGGGCCCAGAGCAGCACTGTGTATAATTAGGCACTTCAGTGAAAGCCTTTAATGTGAATGATAGTAATGAAGATGAAAAGACAATAAAAGAAATCTTCTAGAACAGAGCTCAGCAAACTTTTTCTGTAAAGGCACAGATAGTAAATATCTTAGGCTTTGAGAGCCATGGGATATCAGTCCCAACAACTCACCTCTGCCACTGTTGCAGGAAAGAAGTAATAGACAGTATGTAAAGAAATTAGCATGGCTATGTTCCAATAAAACTTTATTAACAAAAACAGCCAGAGGGCTGGATTTGGTCCATGGACTCCAGTTAGCCAACCCCTGCTACAACAAATGTGGCTAATGAACACCTGAAATGTGCTGTAGGTGTAAAACACACCAAATTTTGAAGACTTATCAAACAAAACCAGTTGCTGTTGAGTTGATTCTGACTCATAGTGAACCTATAGCACAGAGTAGAACTGCCCCATAGGGTTTCCAAGGAGCAGCTGGTGGATTCAAACTGCTGAACTTTTGGTTAACAGCTGGGCTCTTAACCACTGCGCCACCAGGGCTCTTTTGAAGACTTAGTACAAATAAAAGAATGTAAAATACGTCAATATTTTTTTTTACATTGATTACGTGCTGAAAGAGTAATGTTTTGGATACAGTGGGTTATCAAAATTAATTTCGCCTGTTTTTTTTAACTTTTTTTTTTTTTAATATGGCCACTAGCAAATTTAAAATTACATTTCTGGCTCATATTATATTTCTATTGGGCAGCACTGCTCTAGAACAACATCTTTCTTTTTTTTTCCAAGTGAAATACAAGTTAGGACCTAAAGAGTCCCAGACAGGCAATTTACTCTTCAAGAGACACAAATATGGAATTTGAATTTGCACAATAAAGTAATATCTGATTGGAATAGGTTTCTAATTGAATATATGTGTGTGTGTATTTTTTTATCAGCTAGTTTTTTTTTTTTTTTTGTCTGTATCTGCTCCTCCAACTGGGATCTGTGGTGCTCTGCTTCCTCAAGCTATTAAAAGCTGTTGCTCAAAAAAGGACTGTCTTCAGTGGGGGAAAAAAAAAATTGTAATGCAGAATTAAACATTAATCCAATTTCTTTACTGCAGCAGAATTTCTCAACCCTTCTGAACTCACTAATGTTTATAGAGCTTCTGCAAGAGGAGAGAGAGTAGGCAGCGCTTCCCCAACTTATTGGCTTCAGAAGCCTTTTTTTTTTTTTTTTTTGCTGAGCCCTAATTAACACTCCTAGAAGGCAATTTGAGGAATGCTGGTCTGCATGACGATATACAACCAGTGTGCATGATTTTCCGAAAGTCCAACTCAATTGGCTGTTTTTAGCGCTACATAAATAGAGCCACAGTTGGTATAACATGGAATAGTGAGAAAGCTGTAAGCTTGGGAGGCATGAAGCCCCAGGCCAAACTGCTGCTTCTAGATATTCATTCCCTAGATATTGATTCATGCAAAAGCAACTACTATGTGTGGGCAGTGTTTAGGTCCTGGATATATAGAGGTATACAGCTCCGACAGATGCTATTCCCTAAGGCAGACGGTGTGAGGGAGGGAGCTCTTGACAGAGGTGTTAGGAAGTCGCCTCCTGGCCCTGACCTTGTGTCCCTCCCTTCCAGGCGCCGCGGCCTGAGTGACCAGACCATGGAGACCCTGCTTGGTGGCCTGCTGGCGTTTGGCATGGCGTTTGCCGTGGTCGACGCCTGTCCCAAGTACTGTGTCTGCCAGAATCTGTCTGAGTCACTGGGGACCCTGTGCCCCTCCAAGGGGCTGCTCTTCGTGCCCCCTGACATTGATCGGCGCACGGTGGAGCTGCGCCTGGGTGGCAACTTCATCATCCACATCGGCCGCCAGGACTTCGCCAACATGACGGGGCTGGTGGACCTGACCCTATCCAGGAACACCATCAGTCACATCCAGCCCTTCTCCTTCCTGGACCTCGAGAGCCTCCGCTCCCTGCACCTCGACAGCAACCGGCTGCCCAGCCTCGGGGAGGACACCCTCCGGGGCCTGGTCAACCTGCAGCACCTCATTGTCAACAACAACCAGCTGGGCGGCATCGCGGATGAAGCCTTTGAGGACTTCCTGCTGACGCTGGAGGACCTGGACCTCTCCTACAACAACCTCCATGGCCTGCCCTGGGACTCCGTGCGGCGCATGGTCAACCTCCACCAGCTGAGCCTGGACCACAACCTGCTGGACCACATCGCCGAGGGCACCTTCGCCGACCTGCAGAAACTGGCCCGCCTCGACCTCACCTCCAACCGGCTGCAGAAGCTGCCCCCAGACCCCATCTTCACCCGCTCTCAGGCCTTTGCTCTGACTGCCACGCCCTTTGCCCCACCCTTGTCCTTCAGTTTCGGGGGGAACCCGCTGCACTGCAACTGCGAGCTTCTCTGGCTGCGGAGGCTTGAGCGGGATGATGACCTGGAGACCTGTGGCTCCCCAGGGGGCCTCAAGGGCCGGTATTTCTGGCATGTGCGCGAGGAGGAGTTCATGTGCACGCCGCCTGTCATCACCCGGCACACGCACAAGCTCCTGGTTCTGGAGGGCCAGGCCGCCACGCTGAAGTGCAAGGCCATTGGGGACCCCAGCCCCCTCATCCACTGGGTGGCCCCCGATGACCGCCTGATGGGGAACTCGTCCAGGACTGCCGTGTACGACAATGGCACCCTGGACATCCTTATCACCACGTCTCAGGACAGCGGTGCCTTCACCTGCATTGCCGCCAATGCCGCCGGAGAGGCCACGGCCGCCGTGGAGGTGTCCATTGTCCAGCTGCCACACCTCAGCAACAGCACCAGCCGCACCGCACCCCCCAAGTCCCGCCTCTCAGACATCACTGGCTCCAGCAAGACCAGCCGAGGAGGAGGCGGCAGCAGTGGGGGCGGGGAACCTCCCAAGAGCCCCCCTGAAAGGGCTGTGCTTGTGTCTGATGTGACCACCACCTCGGCCCTGGTCAAGTGGTCAGTCAGCAAGTCAGCCCCCCGGGTGAAGATGTACCAGCTGCAGTACAACTGCTCCGACGATGAGGTACTGATTTACAGGTGAGCTAGAGGGTACGGCAAAGGTGGGGCGGGGGAGGGGTGTCCGGCTGGGGAAGGAGGAGGGGACGGGGAGGGGGAAGCTTTTGAGGTGTTCCCACCTCTCTCTCACCCACAAAGGTGTCTGTGGGGATCCTGGGCAAAACGTGCCATAAGCCCTCAGGACTCTCCTGCAGGTAAGAGGAAGTAGAAAGAACATCAACTACACAGGTTTAAGGAGAGCAGAACTCATACATGGGCAGGTCAAAGGGACATGTGTGAAGAGGGACCAGGCCTCCCACGTGGGTGGCTGTGGTAGGTGGTTCTGTGGCTATGAGCCTCAGAACTTCCTGTTTTGAGCCCCACTAGAGGACACACAAGGGCAATGAGTAGAACCTCTTGACCAAAGGATCAGACTCCTCTAAGGAGGAATGAATTTAGCCTTCACCTGGACTTGTATGAAATAGTGGTTAAAGCTTTGAGATCAGAAGGAGTGGAATTCAAACCATGGCTCTGCCATTTGCTAGTCATTTAATTTTTCTAGCCTGCCTCAGTTTCCTTATCTGTAAAATGAGGATGATACATACCAGACTTACTTTGGACACACTGTTGCAGGAAATTGGCCCAACTCAAACAGGCTTTAAAAAAAACAAAAGAAAAAGGGAGGGGGAATTTGTTGGTTCGTATAATTGACAATTTAGGGAGCTTCTTCAGGCTCAGCTGGATTGAAGTCTCCCCAGAAAATGTGTTGGTGTCTCAAAGTTTCTTGTTGCTGTGTTAGTTGCCAGTGAGTCAATTCCAACTCATGGTGACACCATGTGTGCAGTGTAGAACTGCTCCATAGGGTTTTCAAGGCTGTGACCTTTCAGAAGCAGATTGCCAGGACTTTCTCCCAAGGCACCTCTGGGTGGGTTTGAATCGCCAACCTTTTGGCTAGTAGCTGAGCGCTTAACTATTTGCGCCACCCAGGGACTCCCAGAGTTTCTTACCTTCCCTAAATTTTGTTCTCCTCTGGGTTGGCTTCACCTTCAGGCAGCTTCTATCCTCTGAGCAGCCCCTGACGGCTCCTCTTAGCAGCCCTAGAGGGAAGCGGGCATCTCTTTCCCAAATGGTCCCACAGAAGTCCCGGAAGAGCTCTGATTAGACAAAGCAGGTCACATGAGCCCCTGGAGCTTAGAGGTGATGTCATCCTGCCCACCTGTACTGACCTCTCTGGGCTTCAGTGTCTCCCTCTGGAAATGGAGACAATGATGTTGACCTGGTAAAGTTGCTGTGAGGATCAAGGGGTCACCTCCTAGGCCTGGAGGAAAGGGGTTTAAGACTGGACAGCTGCAGTGGAATTGCCTAAGTCATTCAGAGGGAGGAAGGAGCTCACAGAGTGAGACAGAAGGCCCCTCCCCTTCCTGCCTTAGTTCCTATTAACAGGAAGGATACACTCTAGAATCTTACCACTCAAGGACTGCATGATTTTTATTGAAATCCTACGTGGTTTATTTTATGCACTCAAAACAATTATTCTAAGAAGGGATCCCATCGACTTTATCAGACCGCCAAAGGGCCCATGGTGCAAGAGAGGTCAAGAACTGCTGGATCCATTGTTAAGATTTCTTCCAGCTTTGAGTTTCTGAGTTGATGAGTCTCTGGAACAGGGCAGGTGGGGGAGAAGAGCACATACGGAAGGCATTCATTCACTGAATAGAGTCCATGTGATTGAGGGGGCACTGTGTGCCACGGAAACTATTGTGGAGGCCATGGGCCACCCAGTGCCACTGTGGTGGAACTAAGGAACCTCCCTAACTTGGCATCTGCTTGGCTTGTCCGGATAGCAGCTCCATTTCTCAGGATGTAGAGAAAGCAGCATTTGAACTTAACTTAAATAGACACACATGCATGCATGCAATATATATGCATATCTATTATTCAACTCAAACATACATATATATATTTTTGTAATTATAAAAATAAGTCTGTAGAAAATCTCAAAAGCAGCATTAAAACTTAAATACACACACATGTGCACATGCGCATGTATATATACGTATATGTTATTAAACTCAAATATAGATTCATATATATATTTATAATTATAAAAAAATAGAAAATTTGGAAATCAGCATTAGAACTTAAATACATACACACACATATTTACATATATATTATTAAAATTAAATATATATACTATATATGTATTTTTCTAATTATAAAAGCAATAATAGTCTTTGTAAAAAATTTCAAAAGCAGCATTAGAACTTAACCTAAATACACACACATATACACACATATATATACATATCGGAGCCCTGGTAGCGCAATGGTTGAGAGCTCAGCTGCTAACCAAAAGGTCAGCAGTTTGAATCTACCAGCCATTCCTTGGAAACCCTATGGGGCAGCTCTACTCTGTCCTATAGGGTCACTATGAGTCAGAATCGACTGGACAGCAACTTTTTTATATACATATTATTAAATTTAAATACATATACATATATGTATTTGTCTAATTATAATAGTAATGCATATTCCATGTAGAAAATTTGGAAAGCTGAAAAAATTATAAAGAGGAAAATAAAAATCACCTGTAATCCCACCAGCCAAAGTAACCAGAGACATTTGGAAAGTGAGTTTTACTTAAATCCAAAACAATATTTATTATCACTCTAGCATGCACTTTGGTATCATAATTCTTTCCACTCAACATTATAGCTTGCTTAGTTCCCATAGTATTAAACATTTTTCATTTCTCTGTATCCTAATTTATTTAACCAATCCTCTATTGTTGGATATTTAGTTGGTTTCTTGTTTTTCAATATTAAAAATAACACAGCAATGGGTATCTTTATACATAAATGTATTTGTGCAACTTCAATAACTTCTTTAGCTTGTTTTCCAAGGAGTTCAATTATAGGTTTAAGGAGTAAATTATAACCCTTATGCATGACATATAAATATTTATGTAGCCTCTCACTAGTGGGAGGCAACAGTGCTCACTTTGACCACGGCTTTGCCAATACTGAATATGTAATTACTTTCATCTCTGCCAATTTGATAGGTGAAAAATGGAACGTGGTTTAATTTGCATTTGTTTGATAACGTGTGAGACTCACCTTTTGAAAATTAGTGTATTTCTTTGCTCATGAATTTATTATATAGTCCAGACTTTGATAAAAACTGTAAAGGTGAAAAGCTACCAGTTCTGTGTCTTGCAAGAGCATAGAGTGAAGGGAAATGCAATTTGTAAGAGGGGAAAGGAGATGTCAGCACACTGTGATGGCTGAAGGGACGCCCCTCCCTGGGGGTCTTGGAAATACTGGGAGGGGTAGAGGAGAGGGGAGAGGCTGTGCTCAAACTGCTTTTATCTGATGATTGAGAACCTGGAGTCACTAGGTTTATAAATATAATATGCAAATAAAATGGGAGCATGAGAAACCTTGGAATAAAAAAATGCAGGTAACAGTGGTGACTTCCTTTGAGGATGGCCAATGAGGCTCAGCTCTCCAAATAGTGCAGGCACATAGAAAGCGATCAACGAATAGCAAAACCCGGTTGCCGTTGACTTGGCCCTCACTCATGGCACCCCTATGTGTGTCAGAGTAGAACTGTGCTCCAAAGGGTTTTTAGTGGCTGATTTTTCAGAAGTAGATCACCAGGCCTTTCTTCTGAAGCTCCTCAGGGTGAACTTGAGCTTCCCACCTTTTGGTTAGCCACCGAGAACTTCAACCATTTGCACCACCTAGGAACTCCTCAAAGAATACAAATTATTATTATTAGAAGTAGTAGTAGTAGTGAGAGTAATTGTAGGATAAAGTAAGGCCATTATCTTGTCTGTCATCCCAGTTAAGGAAACAGAAGAGGAAGATCAGCTATACCATGCAGTCTTTAAGGCAGATTTCTAAAACTTTAGAGAAAAAGGTAAGTGTGAGCCTGTAGTCAGATAATAGCCACAACAATAGTTAGCCAACATTGCAAGCTACTTGTGTGCTTGGTATTGAGCTTTACAAACAGTATCTCATTTAAGAGCTTGGCCACTAGCCACAAGGTTGTCTGTTCAAGCCCACTCAGCAGCACCAAAAGAGAAAGACCTGGCAATCTGCTTCCATGAAGATTACAGCCTAAAAACCCTTTGGGGCTGTTCTACTCTGTCACATGGCGTCACCATGAGTCAAAATCTACTCAACGGCACCTAATAACATACACACCAAAGAAGCCTTGGTGGTGCAATGGTTAAGCTCTTGGCTGCTACCGATAGGTTGCTGGTTCAAACCCACCCAGTGGCTCTGGGGCAGAAAGACCAGGTGATGTGTTCCTGTAAAGATTACAGCCTAGGAAACCCTCTAGGGCAGTTCTATTTTATCATGTAGGGTTGCTTTCAGTTGGAATCGACTTAACAGCACACAGCAAAAACAACATACACACCAAGAGGTAATAAAGCCGAGGCTGAGAGAATTAAACACTCGCCCAAAGTCTCGCAGACAGAAGGAGGCAAGGCTGCAATTTGAACCCATGCTTTCTGGCTTCAGTGCCCAGACTCAACCACTGTGGTCTTGATGCCCGTGTGCTAAAAGTGAATATGGCTTAGGAAAAGCTGGATATTTAAGAAATAAAGTGTAGATTTTTAGAAAATAAATAGTCCCCAGAAGAAAGAGAAGAAGCCAACAGGTTGCACAGTAGCTCTCTGATGCATTCAGATTTTAACAAGATGTGCAAAGGGAAGGAGGGAAGGCCTGCATCCAAAGATGAATATTAAAGAGGCGTACACACCACACAGAAAAGGCTAAAGGTGGCCAAAAAGGGCTTTTTAATCCATGTTCATAGCAAGAAGAAAAACTGACAAAGGTCTGCTGGTTGAGAAAGAGGTTGCAATGAGAGTAGACAAGAGCTAGCAGGAAAAGTCCATTCTGCTTCCATCTTCCCCAGCAAGGAGAACAGCAGCAGCAATAACAGTATTAATCTGCATGAGATCTTGCTTACACCATGTGCTCTTCTAACTTGGGTGTCCTTGGGTGGGGCAAAAGGTTAACATGCTCAGC